CCTATATTCCATTATGACCATTGATATACCGTAGATTCAATCACATTTTTATGTCTCCACATCTCAGGCCACTCAAATTCTCATGTGCGCGCCATGATGTGATCTCCAATACTCCTCGTAATTAAGTTCTTAATCCAACAAATCCAGGTTGAAACTGGCCGGATGAAAACTTTGTTAAATCTTTTACTTCATCAACCTAACTGGTTTTGCAAGATTGGCTGTGAGTCTTCGCTGACTCTCATTGTCACCCGGGTCGAATTCAGGTCCTGATTCAAACGAGGCTAACAGTCAGGAGATGTTTATGAATTCTCACACCACACTTACGGAGAAAGACGCGAAAAGTAGAATTGCTCAGTTTGATGTTTCAAAAAGCATCGCCCATCAAAGCGGAGCCAACAATAAGTTAAGTACCAAAACCTGATTGTGGTTTTGTCAATGTTCCTTTGTCACTGACGAGCAAATCGGCCCAACGTGAACAATTTCATCCGCCTGAGTCGTCGACGTCATCTTGTGTCCCCTCTTTGAAATTTTCAAGCTGTATTTTTATGTTTTTTTCAGAACTGCACAATAATTCAAAAGATCAACAAAGCAACTTCACGCAAAATTCAACCGTTGCTGTTGCAAGAACCCGGAAGGTGTGGTGATTAGAGAGATAAAGGAAAGTTGCAATTCAAACATAAACTAGACAGTTCTCTGAAAATTTGTGGAAGTTCCTAACCAAAACTCGCGTTGTTCTGTAATTTTTTAATCCTTGACTGACGCAGATGTACAAAATCCTGTTTTCTGCCAGCCTGGTGACATTTCCCGTGGTGTAATGACGTTTTAGTTACACTTCCAAAATTAGTTGATCAAAAAACTAACTACGTGTGAAACCTGTCCATCCCTTAAAAAGCAAGGATGGTTTGTATTAATCTACGGGCCACAAGGATATGCTGTTGTTACATCTTGGTGGTTTAACTTCTTTTGTACGAATGAAAAGCTGCATTGAACTGAAACAGGTGTTTACAGAGAAGAAAATGACCTTCAATTTTTGCGTCTAAGAAAGTTGGCGACATTAAATGTCAAATATCTTTTTGCTCACTTGTCATAAGAAAAAGCAGTATGTATATTTTGCCTGCTTGATTAGGTTTCAGCCACAAACCACGGCTGACATCCGACATCCAGTATGATTTATACGTCCAAATGCATCCGCTGGCGGCCGTGACAAGCACTGGCGGTTACGTCCTTGCGTAAGGACCTTCCTGTCCAGGAATGCTGGGAGCAGCTGCTGATATTCTGCTACTTCAACGTTTCCGTTGGTTATCCAGTCCACAAAATTTCAACCCAATGAATGTTTGGTGGACAAATTAAGAGTTGAATTTTCGTTGAGACATAATACAACCTTTATAAGGATGTCATCCTGCAACCTTTAATCCACTGAAGCTGTTGCTTGCATAAGAAAAGTGTAATACACCAGGATGAGAATATGCATGTAAACATTTGGTCGGACGATACGTTGCATAACAAAAGTTTCTTGCAAAAGTATTGGTTTGCGCAGAAAGCGCTAACTTGTAAATTTTCTACAACCCAACTAATCTCAGAGGGAAAACCAACTATTTTGCGTAATTTTACTTGATCGGTTGTGGTATCGAGTTTCAAACGCCATATTTTTACTAACATGGATTGGCACCGTTGCGTCCGGTATTTTTACCATCGTACGCATGTAAAATGTGGAACTGACATGAAGTGCTTATTCCCGAATGAAAGTTAGTTCGTCGGTTAATGTTACTTTAGGATACCAAAGTGCACAGTATAGAGCCAGTTTACTCATACGTCGAGTTAGATAGACATTTGTCGTCAGATTTTTCCAAATTGCGGGCAAGCAAATTGTAGGGTTACACCATGAAGAAACGAAGTTTTCTAGGTTTTATTCCTAAAGGTTTTAAGCAGCCAAAATCGTCATATGTTGTATCGCATCATTAACAAGGACTTCTTCTTCGAGGAACCCTCTAACAATCCCCTAAATCGTTTGTTGTTTGATACCGACGCATATGCTCTGGGATTTGATTGGAAAACATCACGCTTACTTTCGCCCGAGCAATTCATTCAGCGTAACCAAATCGGCAGTTTGGGATCGATTGACAGGTATCCCATGAGGTTTCTGGTAATTAGGTCGGGCAATCTTTTGCAGTCACGCGCGTACTTTTATAGTGCTTGCAAGTAGTCAGCTCTGATGGACATTGCAGATACTCTAATGGCGGTAGCAGTAAAAATGTGAATTGGCTGAGATTGTCCCATTAACCAGCTTTATTCGCAGAAGATATGAAGTAGTCAGACAACTCTGATAGAGCTTTGCATGTTTTGGGAAGGTTGGGGAAGTTGGTATATCCAGCTGGTATAATGAATCATTTACGGGATGGTTGGTTTTATTACCCTAAGTGTTGCTTCCCAAGAGTTCCATATTAGTTCAGAAAACTTCACCGGATCGTGCATAGACAGTGGGAAAACCCATGTAATCTCTGTATGAAATACTAGAAGTTGATTTTACCGAGAAATGACTCGTTGTATGTTTAACATAGTGTGAATAAGGATTTGTGGGATGATACTGGCGTTAAATCTGAAGTCTTATGTGGTAGGTTCTTCATACCCCATGTACAGAGCATATTGCAGTAAACTAAAAGCAAATATACTGTGATATCTCAAATATCGTGCCAACTAAATCATGAGGCGGCCTCTGTACAGCACTTTCAGTTGTAGAATATCATAAACGAAAGATTCAGTTCAGTCTCTCCTGAAAACCAAATTGATTTTCAAATGAGTGTATTTCTCGAATATGATCATTACTTCCGCCGAAACAAAACATAACTTTCAACGGGAAAACGGAGTTAGCAAGTAAAATAGGGAGGAAGGAGTAATATGCGCACAAAACGCCACGCATATATTTTGTATTATCCCCTCGGCATGAGATTTAAACATGGCAGCGGTGTGTCTTGGATGGTGTGTGCCGTTGATCAGTGGAACTGATATTTCCTCTATCACTGATGGATTGTCATATTAGGCAAAACAAGAAGTTTGACCTTTGTATTCCAGAAAGATCATGCATGAATACCCTATTCCTATGTAGTGAACTGTGATTATTCTATCGGTGTATCATAATTTGAACTAATTCTCAGACGTTTCAAGTGGAGATGTGTGAGACAAATTCAATCAAATAATGTGTTGTAAATAATCTGCGTTACATGCACCGGTTAAACCGAATGGAATGAAAATCGTGAAGTAAACACGTCTCAAGGATGTATTCCCTTCGAAAGTCACATTCGAGTTTCGACAGCTTTGTAATTTCACATAACGGGTCCTTAGATTATGTGTTTTCAGTAATACCCTTCTATGAATTTAGTCTATTTACTGATGCGAAAGTCACATCTGTATGAATGTTTAGCAGACGTTTTTGAATGGAAGCTTGGCCCATCTTAACATGAATGAACCTCGTTCTTCCTTATTATGTTGTGGTTGAGAAAGATTGACTTGAGGATCAACTACTAAAACTGATGGATCAGTGGAGAATTAACACTTTTTCTTAGTACATTCCCCATGTTCAAAAGGAAAGGCGAATTGTCCGGACTAATTAGGTTGTTTTGAATCAAATCAGATCTATGGCTCAGATCTAGTGTTGCCGATGAAAACATGCCATGGTGAAACTCTATCTCAGCATAGTTTTTCTCTAACGTAGCTAGTTATACGCTTACTAATTAGAAAAGCTCAGTTCCCGAATTTTTTGCTGGGGTAGGCAAGTTATCTGAAAACAGTCACTGACTGCTCAGTCAGACTACGTCTTTGGGGATTGAAGATTCAGACTGAGCTGCCGCTGTACGTGTCACTGTGAACACATTTCACCTAACATAACTATTTGTCTTGGGTATGCGGCAGGTATGTTTTGGAATGGCATATCATTAGAGGATTGCAAACAATAATCGACCATTGTATTTGGAGAAGTCGAACTCATATCCTTCAACCACAAACCATCGTGTGCTGACAGCCATGATCACGGCCTTGTGTTGCCTTGCCTGACAAGATAGCCCTTTTGAACTACCTAACCTAAAATGGTGACTGTATTTCAAAGTTTATTTTTCAGGGTCGGGCATTTTAACTAAAGCTCTTCGGTCTTATTAGACAACTTGCGATACTCACGACTTGCGTAGTCCGCACCACGTGCGCTAAAACTGATATCGCTTTGCAGATGATTCATTATCTACGATCTAGTTCTGTTACGCAAACAGAAATGTATTTGAGAAATCACATCAAATTTGGCAGCGCTGAATGTTTTGTGAAGTCTATTACTAGCTTCATAGGCGCGGCGCTGGTTATTAGTCACCTGAGTTGTACCTACAGTATAAAATTTTTTACAAGTGATTTTCAGGCTAGGCTGCGCTTAGGTTGCTAACACGTCCAAATTCTTTCGAATAATGCCGGTATTTTAGTTGATTTCCAAGGTGATTTAGCCTTGATCATTGACCCCAACTTAGCACCCGGCGTGCGTAGATTGTGGCTGAATAAAAACCTAACGTGCAAGCACCCACACACAAACACCACCATTACCCGCACAATGGTTTTGCAGCTGCTGGTCGGACCGAAACCTACTAACGATCCTATTAATGACTACTCTAACCAACATAGTTCGTCATCAGTGTTCAACAAGTGGTCTGTTCCAGCCCTGTTGACCGCCGATTGCGTATTCGGCTAAATGAGCACCCGAGATTGAGTGGGTTACTGAGATAAATGCGGGTCAGGCAGAGCGGCCGCACGATCAAATCACGCGAAAGATACACATACGCACACAACCACAGATACACACAGAAGCATTGGACAAGCACATAACTAATGCTAGTGATGGTTTGACAGACAGGCGTCGTCATATCGCACCGCCAACAGCAGGCAAGATGAAGGCGATAGCAGCAGCAATGGCAGCACCAGCGGTAGCGGCAGCTGTCATCTAAGCACACGTGTCAACATAAGGCATTACAATACCCGACCGAATTTCAGCAGTAACTGAAACTGCTTGTGACACCGCAGAATCCCGAATTCACATTGCTTCGCAACAGAGGAATTTTTATAAAAACCTCAGACCGAACTTTATAATTTTTTCCGAACTGATGTGTTCTGGACAAGTAAATGTGGATACTATTCTCAGTCAAAACTCGCCAAACCAGCTCAAGTCACCCCTGGCTCAGAGCACAGCTGGACCCAGTAGTCCAACTTGCACTGTGAACAGTCCAGTAGCGAGTATGAGCGGTACTACCATGGATCATTGGTCTGCCACTCTGTTGGCAGCACAAGCCTTGGTGCGCACCAAAAAGGTTTTTATTGGGGGAGTCGCCACCGGAACAACAGCTGAAGAACTGGAGACATTCTTCAGCGAGTTCGGAAAAGTAAGCCATTGTATTCAAAATCTAGGGAAACTGTCGGAATTGAAGTCCTCGTCAAACTATGGTGGAAGTAATTGCATGTTATTCTTACACAAGTTGTTTTTCATGCTTAGTTTCTCTGTCCCACATATAATACACAATGCGTTTGCTGTGATTTCTTCCAGTGACAGTTCAATGATCTACAAGGAATCGCAGTTTAGAAGTCATCATCCATGGGCTATACATAGCTGCAGATAACATGCGGTCAGAAAGGCTTGCCAAACAATCGAGAGCATTTATTACAGAATCGAACTGCTACTATAAGTTGCAGAACGGCTACATCACTTCTCTACAATTAGGCGCGCCTAAATGAAAAATCCCTGGGCAAAAGAATATATTAGGTCAACCCGAATGGAAAATATTTCCAGTACATTTTCGTTCGAGGTGCTCCATCCACTTACAGGACATCATCAATGCAAGGATAAGGTTGACGTTTAACCGATGTAGCAATCCTGGAAGTCATCATTTAACTTCACCACATCTTGATGCCTTCGAACAACTTCAGATATACAAGAACTTTCCCGGCCCTGATGCACATGAATTTCTGATACGCAACAAGCTAATCAATGCTGATACAAACCGTGATAATATCATGGCCTTGAATGCCTTTAAAGTAGAAAAGTAGTGCTGCACGAAGGATTAATCCGTAAAATGCAGTTTGGCTTAATATCCATTAAAGATGTACGCCTTTTACAGTATCCCTTATAAGCTGTCGATTTTTGTATTCAACAATTTGTCACGCGCAGAATATTGCCAGTTTCAGTCACAATCAACCCGGTGTAGTTGCAAGGTTTTTCAAGTCTGGTCAGTGATCCAATAGACCTGAAAACGGCTGCTGTTAGAGAGTAATTAGAACTAGTTCACAAAAGCGGATGAACGAAATCTCCATCGTTTTTCAGTTTATGTTCAAATTCAAATTCCTCTATTTGCAATATGTGCTGTCCGTGTATACTTCCCATATGGAAATCCACCTTTAAATTAATTTGTAGTCATATCCAAAGGATATTTTAGTAGCATGCTTGCGCAGCTAAGACTCACGGACTATATGTTCTCGGCATACCTGTTGCTTCTGTTATTTGTGTCTATTCAACCAACTACATTTACCTCTGTACAAGTGTTCTTTTCTACAAGAACTTTTCATTTATCTCACAAGACAAGGAATCCGTGGTAGCTTTTTGAAGCTGTTTTACAGGATTACGCGTTGATTCAAGTTTAATGGGCGCAATCACATCAGTCTATTTCTTACAGTGATGAATATCTGCCTTCGTTCCCGTTAAATTAAATCAGTAGACGTTGGCAAGTGTGTGGGTGCCAACAAATCTGGTCGTTTTTTGCTTGGTGTCCACTGTCACACTGCTGAGTCATAGTTTTCCCACCTTTGCGTCTTGAATGGCAAATTACCCTAAAACACACGAACTATATCAAAAGGCGTATTCACAGAGCCGGCTTCAAAAAGCAAGCAGGACCGGCCAAGCTAAACCCATTGCCTTCAACTTTGAAGCTTGATTATAATGGTGGCAGAGTTCTCTGTCGATAATATTTCTAACCATTAATACTTGAATAGAAAAGAAAATTGTTGGCTTAGGTTATGATGTTGGTCGTTGGTGTGTTTTCCGAGCTGGGGAATTCGGTTGCAAATGTCGAAGCCGAGGTGACAACATAAGTGTGCTATGAATGCAATTGGTTAGAAGGTCTTTCAACCCTAACGAAGTTCTACTCACAACGTACCGACAGAGTCACCTCAGCCATATCGCCCAGCTGAACAAACAAACAAATGGGCATTTGTAACTTAACGTTAACTTATAACCCTGAGAGCCCTTCAGGTTACAGTTTTGGTTTAGTCATTTCAAGTCTTTCAAAAGGGGAGGTTCATGTCCAACCACCGTGAGCGACAGAAAGCAAGACATATATGGTAGCTACTGTTTCACGAAATGTTAAGAAATAAACGAATCTACCTAGTCTTGGTAGCTTATGACTTTAGACTACTGGCGATCATCATTTTAGGGATATAATCACCTGGGCAGAACTTCGTACAACAAAATGAAGTAGCATGCATTATTCAGAGTGAAGGTCCTGTGTGTGTTAATTTGTATGATAGTTATGCGTTACACCATTTCGACTTTTTGCTCTTTTGGGGATTGTGGCTTTGTGAAACACTATCAAACAGGATGCTCAAAAACTGAAAAAAAACTTTCTGAAATTACCGACTTTAACAGAAATCCTAATAACATTTGGTTCATTGGTTCATCATTTTAACTGCTCCTTCAGACAGAAAACTTCACGAGACAATAAAGTAACAGTTCCGTGCTCGAAAGAACATGCTGAATTTCATCTTTCAGCTAATTTGGTCTCTTCAGATTGACTATCGCATCATAGTCAAGACATGAAGGCTCACACAAAAAAGGCCTTGCGGAGTATACTTCCATCACACAAAAAGCAGCGCCTGATGTTCTTCAGAGCAAGATAATAATCTTAAGGTGCCAACTGACAAAACATGAAGATTGTGCATTTTTTGAATATTTGTTGGCGTGTAAAAATCAGTGGGACAGCGTGATAACTGAAGTGAATTTGACTTTATTGTAGCAGGCAGCGATTACTGAAACCTAATGTTTTTACATAAGAAAATAGTTGTGAAAATTAAGCTCAATTTAAAAGTTCAAGCGGGTATGATGCATTTGGATTAGCACTGACCGAACTCCCATTTTGTGATTTGGTTTATAATTCTTGTCTGCTAGTGCAAATCTCTATCGTTTGTGCATATTGGTGTTTCAAAGGTCATACTTCTATCGGCCTTAGATTGGCAATACTTGTTAGATTTGTAAAAAGATAAACATTCAAGCACTGTAATAGAATCATGTTTACTTTATATCATTTTTGCACTGCAATGACTGATATTGGAATATCATCGTTGACCTTTAACAACGTCCTGATCGGGGCGTGAACAGATGCTTATTTTCGTTTGTTTTCAGAGCATGATCTAAGGGCTGTTGTAGACTAGCTGGAAAAGTTGTACGAAGAGCTCTTCAACCGTCAAATTGCTTGTAAAATAACGTGTGCGAAGAAAAACCCTGAGGAAGTTAGTGTAAGAATTAGCCATTTTCGGCTTACAAAATAATATGAACGATAAACCAGAACCAAATAAATGAATTACAACAAATTTTCACACGTTTGTATCCATCGCGACATATTGCAAGCGTTTTATTGTATTTGTTTTGTTCAGTCGCTGATCTAAAAATGGTTATTTTGCAGAAATTTGTGTAAGGCAACATTCAATGAATTGCAAAGTGTTGCCGTAAATTAGGGAATTTTACACCGGAAACGGTCACCTTTGGGTATGTTGGCAAACATCACGCCGGAATAACTTTGGGTTTCAGTACCTGGCGTCATAGACATCGGAAAAAGGGCTAGAGAAAACGGAAGAAATGTCTTAGAGAACAATCTATTTGTTTTCCACACAAATATTAGTGATGCCTGCAGTTAACCTCAATTGCTTTCAAGAAGGTTAATCCTGAAATAGACTAGCTTATCGTGTTGAGCGCTTGACAGTATATCATTTGTTCACTTGCAAAACTTTGCTTTGCTATTTTCGGCCATATAATTTAGCTTCTCCATGGTTCAACACCGACCAAGATCTAACCACTGAATATGCCAATTCTTATGCTACCATTAAATATAAGAAGCTGCGCATGTCTGTTCAACAATCTGATGTACACCAGCAGCTAGTAGGGTAGAACTCACAGTGTCTATACGTCGGGGGTAACAGAATTCAATCCTGATATACCTAAGTTGATACATTAGATAGAAGTTTTAAGAACAACACATAGACATAGATAGATAATATCCACACCCATTTTCAATCATCGTCTTTCGAGGATAAAATCTTTTTGATAAGTGTGAAAATGCATTTGTCGTTTAACTGAAGCAATCCACTTTGGCTTCCCTGATGTTTGTTCTACAACTTGCTCAAAATTTTGTCAGGATCCATGGCTGAATAAGTGACTTGAAATGCACTACGTATTTGAGAAATAAAGTATATGAATCAATATACGTTCCGTTTACGGGGACTTCGTTTGCAATACTGAGGCCTGTAGAAATTCTGCTTTGAAACTCAAAACTATAGAAACGCCTGGACGCACATCAGCAGCGGACTAGCTAGCCGATGTTACGTTTGTCAACAAAGCAATTTTTATTCCGGAAGACCGAGGACGAGGAACAGATTGTTCATTAATTTATGGCATAGTCGCACATCTGCTCTTGCCTACACTGGATATGATAACAATTCCGACATCATGCCGCACGTTTCCTCCCATATTGTTCCCATAAATCTTACAGTTGTGATCAACGGCGATCGTGTCGCTGACGGACGTACCTCTACTAAAAAAACTACTCATATCAGTTCGGTTACTTTGTTGCTAGAAATGGCCGCCGAATTCTTCCGGAAGCCCCCATCGACTGATACAACTCATTTTTCGTGGTCAGATTTAATTACTTACACTTGTTTTGGGTTGTCGTGTTCACCATTAGGTTTGTCTATTTAATGTGGAATAGCTTAGGAAACCATTACAATTTAAGAATATTTATACTATGCCTTATAGCACTTTTCAAAACTTCGAATAATCATTCTGGATCTTTGCTATTTTTAATATACACATAATCATAAATGTTCATTGATATAGGTTGAAAACTGTCCGTAGGAAAGTTAATGTTTTATATCAGCGGCTTGTTACTAATAAACAGAAGGCCTATGGGACACACTGATCGGCTGCTCAACTGTCGGGAGAAATAAATATACCTAAATCATTCCTCCCAAAGAAACGAGAAACAACTGTGGGTCGTTTCATATTTACGCTAAATCACCGAGGTAGAACAAATATGCCTTTCTCTGCGAACAGGTTGCAAACTAACGTCAGATCACGTGATGTGAGATTACGTTACTAAACATCTAGTAGTACAACATATTGATC